TTCTACTTTGGGATATTTCTTCAACGATATTTAGAATCTAATTAATATCTACAAGCCATCAACTAAACTATAATCAAGTGTTCATCAGTGATAGCTAAATTTGAAATGGATCCATGAAGAAATTATAATTGAAAAAGAGTAACTATATTCGAAGTAGGATGTGTCATCATTATTGGTATTCAATAATGATTACAGTAATATCCCGAGTTAATTAACTAAATAGATTTCGATGGAACAATTCTCAAATAGTAAACTGGGGCCAAAATCAATAGGGTTATGAATTCGATTCCTGTTGAAGTGTACACACTTAAATAATTCCAAATTAACATTCATCAGTTCTCCACTACCCTCTAATTTATCAGTAGTTCTCTAGTTGATATTTTAATTCACTTCAATAAGTCATTCAGTTAAATAAGAAAATAATTGATCATCATAGGAAAATGGAAAACAAAATATGAGCTAATATTTCATGTGAATAACCAAAAAAAGGTTAAGGTAAATTATTAAATTCAAAAAACTCACGTATTTAAAATTGAATAAAATCAAACTAAAGAATAGAAAACTTGACATAATAACAGTAAAATTCAAATCATTGTCTATACATTAATTCTATTTCATTTTAAGTGATTTAAATAGAATATTGCTTTTCTATAGTTGATTATAAAACTCATTTAGTCATCAACAAAGTAGAATCTAATACATATATGTTGGTTTACGTTGCTAAACCACATCAGTGCAGTGAAATGAAATAATCCAGACACACGGCAGAGCAGTAGAAGTAGTTGTAGTAGTAGAAAAGATCGGGCATTGATATGATGCTTCGAGGAGTGAACTTCTGAGACAGTAAAGTATGGGTCAACTTACAAACATACGATCTAAGCAGAGATAAAGAGTGAGTACATATGTGCTATTATGATCAACACTTACCCATAATACAAGACATTATCAACTATTGGTTATGATAATAATGCAAACCACAATCAAATGGTCCTCACCTATTAACACAACTCATCCTCATCATGATTTATTTTCTCCTAGCTTTCTTCGAACTTACATCTACACAAGTTTGCATCTCATATCAAGAAGAAATTTTCAAAGTTGATCTCTGTGACAGCAACATACATATATACAGAATGAATATAGATAACTCTAAGTTATTTCTAAATTCATAAGATCAGAGTCAAGTACAGAAATCTGTACTTGAAAAAATGTGTTGGACACCTTGCTGACGACTGCCAGGTAGCACGAAACCCGAGTCCAGGGTTTTCTGTTGACTGCCTCCAACCACCATCTTATCTCAACATAGTGCACGCAGTGTCGAGTCACCTAGACTAGTGGCCACATCACAACTTGATCGATAGCATTCTATCTGCACTAAGAAGGACTTGACACACATGACATCGATCACCACCCAGTGATCAATCAATTGTGAATATATATATCTTCTAGAATAGTAATTATATTTGCAAAACACTAAATGTTTTACAACTGATATTCTATGTCAGCTGAGCAGGTGTATAAACATTGTACACATTATATTATATAAATATCTGATTTAGCTTAGATCGACTAGTCAATTCAACTGTTAAAAATATTACAACCTCCGCAAACCCCCTTACTGAATTAAATAAACGCTGCTTTGTTTTGAGGATATTTTTATGTTCATGGAAGCATAAAATAACAATTTTCTATAGTTATTTATTTGTTAATCAAGTGAAGAATGAATTAGACCAGCTTAAGATAATGCGTAATTAATTTATATAATAGTGAAATGGTATGATTCATCTTCTGTGGAAAAAGGGGTAATCATATATATATATATATGTTTACCGAAATAATGGTCTAATATTGTGAACTAAAAGAATTAATGAAAATCAAGCATGTAATTACGCAAACTGTAACTGAGGTTTACTTACTTACTTACGCTTGTTACTCCCAATGGAGCATACGCCACAGACCAGCATTCTCCAACCCACTCTGTCATCCGCCTTCTTTTCTTCCATCCAATTCTTGTTCATTTTTCTCATGTCTATCTCCATTTTTCAGCGTAATGTGTTCTTTGGTCCTCCTCTCCTCCTTTGGCTTTGAGGATTCCATGTGAGGGCTTGTCTTGTGACGCAGTTGGGTGCTTTCCTCATTGTGTGTCCTATCCACTTCCAGCGCTTCTTCCTGATTTCTTCCTCCACTGGGATCTGGTTTGTTCTTTCCCACAGTAGGTTGTTGCTAATAGTGTTCGGCCAACGGATCCGAAGTATTTTGTGTAGACAACTGGATGATGGCTTTCGTAGTTCTCTAGGTTTCCGTCCCATTCAGTAGAACTGTCTTGACATTTGTATTGATAACCCTGACCTTGGTGTTGGTTGACAGTTGTTTTGAGTTCCATATGTTCCTCAGTTGTAAATATGCTGCTCTTGCTTTGCCGATCCGCGCCTTCACATCTGCATCAGATCCACCATGTTCATCAATGATGCTGCTCAGATATGTAAAGGTTTTTACATCTTCTAAATCGTCTCCGTCAATTGTGACTGGATTGGTGCATGCTGTGTTGTATCGGAGAGTCTTGCTTTTCTCTTTGTGTATATTGAGACCTACTGCTGCTGAGGCTGCTGCTACACTGGTCGTTTTCTCCTGCATTTGTTGTTGCGTTTGCGATAGAAGGGCCAGATCATCTGCGAAGTCTAGATCGTCCAACTGCATCCTAGATGTCCATTGTATCCCGTGCTTCCCTTCAGATGTTGACTTCTTCATGATCCAGTCGATCATCAGGAGAAAGAGAAAGGGTGAGAGTAAGCAACCTTGCCTGACACCGGTCTTCACTTCGAACGACTTTGTCAACTGTCCTCCATGCACGATTTTGCAGTGTAATCCATCATATGAATTCTGTATGATATTGACTATCTTCTGAGGCACGCCGTAGTGTCGAAGGAGCTCCACGCTGTCAAATGCTTTCTAGTAGTCAATGAAGTTGATGTAAAGCGATGAATTTCATTCAATTGATTGTTCCACAATGATCCGTAGAGTTGCGATTTGGTCTGTACACGATCAATCCTCACGGAATCCCGTCTGTTGGTCACGAAGTTGAGCGTCTACGCAGTCCTTCATCCTGTTTAACAATACCCTGTTGAAGACTTTTCCCGGTATTGAGAGAAGAGTGATGCCCCTGTAGTTATCACAACTGAGGTTTACTGAAGAAAAATAGAATAGTTTACGAAGCGTAGGGAACTTATATTGGTGTATGTGATATTTATCATTAAATCAATAAATCGCATAAGTACATTAAACTAAATGTGACCCATTCCAAATTATTATCATATAGGAGGATATCTCAAAATAAAAAAATATTGAAAATTCTAACTTATAAAAACTAACATGTCCTCAATTTAAATCCAGTTTGGTAGACCAAACGATAGTAAGTGACCTTACATCAGTTAGTCAAACACTTAGTTAAATATAATTGGATTCCATAAAATCTTTTGCTAATATTGTTTCTTCTAAGACTGGGCAACTTAATCCGATCAAGATCCGTCTTATATATAAATTCTCTCCATTGTAACATAAGATCTTTATGAAATAAAAACAGTTTAAGAATATCGTTTTGATAATGGTACATTGATTGTGCGCAGGAAATATTTTGACAACGAAACAATGTAGGCATGAAATTGGTTACTACTTAATGATCAATCAATTGGAGATAACTCAGTCCTACTGAAGATCCATCGAGGATTGAATCGGTTGGTAATGATTTATCAAGATGTGAAGATAAGTGTATCCGAAAATCATCGTTTCTTTCAACATTACAAGTTCTTGACATTAAGGAGCCTGGTTCGGGCAGGGTTTCATACTGACTGCTTTCAGTCACCGGAGATCTTGACACAGTGGATGTGATGTCGGTTCACTTCGACTAGTGACCTAATTGTAACATAATCGTTAGGACTTGGTCGATACTAAAGAGCAAGATGAACACTTTAATTACCACTACTTAGTGACCAATGAATTGTAGAGGTAACAGTTTACGAAAAGCATTTCACTCGAACTAAGAATATGACAACCATAAACATAAACTGATTCAACATTTCTTAAATATGATGAGCACGACATAATATGTTTAAATAGTTTCATGAACTACATATGGTGTCTTGGAAAAATATGATAGATACAATTTCACCTTTGTTTCATCATCATATGATAATCGTATTCTTGTTTGTTTATCTTCGAAATCGGTTTCACATTATCGTGAAAAATGTCTTTATCCCGTCATTTCGCTAGAGTTTTCTTAACTATCTATTCACGCATTATGATACAGATCATAATAAACTCTATTCTTAATTGAGAAAGAATATATTAATCTGAAAGCAGCTTATGCTAATAAGTATATATAATAGTTGACTTATTAACACAAATTTTCATAACACTATTTCCAGTCATTGTTGAATCAACAGTGTTTGAGAAAATCTAATTATAAAAGATAGCATTTATTATGGACAAATATGAACTTCAGGAGGTCTTAATTAGTCGTCAAAAAATCTAGTTAATACTTGTCATTAAGACGTGCTTGGGATCCTGGGTTAACTGAAGCTTCTTGATATGTCCAAACAGGTGTCGTATAGCATTACATATCGAGACGTTTACACTGAGCTGTTCGGCGTGGGATTGGCTGAGATATTTAAATTTGATTGATACTACGTGGTAACCAACACTATGTTTTCTAGTTCTGTGACTGAATATCGCTTTCACTAAAAGATTAGACAAACCTTAACACTAGTCTACTACTCAGCAATCAATCACTTGTAATCGCAATCAATTGGATATACGTACGTAAAAATAAAAAGACACTGAGTGGTTAATTTGTCCTAGTTTAGGATTTTGCAACAGTAAGCAGTTTGACCACATGCACGATAAAGTCTAGATCTCTTCAACTTTTCAATGGTAAGCAAAATATCAAAGAATAAATTCAGTTAAATGGGGGTTATAGTTTAAGCTTGAAATGATTACTATAAAATGCATAGTAATTTTTCAAAACAATGTTAAAATCTAATTAATAAGTAATAATTATAGTACATTTAAACACAGCAATAATCTTGTTTTCTTTCCTCTTTGAATTGTGCCCTTGGTCAAAAATCCTGACTAACCCCTCAATGCACAAGTACGGCCGAGAGTGGAGAGAGTTAGCTCATCCTCTCGAAATGCTCTCACATGGTCACGTGCATACAACCACTGTCAAGGAAGTCCTAGTCACTGCCTTCTAGTGGCAGGTTTGTCGTTTACGAAATTGAGAGGACAAAAAGCAAATGTTCGGCACTTTAAGAGGGTTGGTGGACACAGAGGATCCGCCTAGGGGAGTTGGAAAACCCTGGTTCCACACAAATGGTGTACATGAGCTCCAGGATCCTAAGGAACCTAATTCCGTATGAAGCACTTATTGGTCACCGGTTACCATGGGGTCGCATCTCCTTACGTTGCTCCACTGTCTTGTGGAATAGACCTTTGGGTCGAAGGCTCCGGGTGCGGTTCCCTAAGAAAATCACATGCTTCGGTTTGGGCACCTGGGCAGTATCCCAGTCCTCACATAAATCGAATAACTTATGTGGCGCATATCTGTTTGGTGCCTCTTTGTACCAATGTTTATGTGTTTAAATAAATAAATAACCATTTTGTAATTGGTATTGATTTTATTGTTAATTGTAAAGTATATACTTACATATATAATCACTAGCGTATGAAGAAATTAGTCTCTGAGCTTAATTGGAAATTTTGTTTTACTTCTAACTGATGAGATAACATATGAAAAATAATCTATAGACTATTATACACTATTATACACTGCTTATTTTATCTGTATATTTTTTATTTACCGTTATAGCTGAAAAAAAGCCCATAGAAAACCGTTATCTAATGCTTATGCTTGAAATTTCCTTAAGGGAATGTGAATATGACAGATTATGTTACAAAAATGTCTACTCATTTAATTTGATTTGGTAGAAATGTTTTGACACTCCTAAGTGAAATGTTATTTAGTTTAAGCATAATAATATTTTTTAATTATATCAAACATAATTATAAATACCATTAAGAAAGAATTATGAACCTTCTAAAAGTGGTTTCGTTTTGTAAGGTTCTGTATTTTTGTGTTGTTATTATGAAAACTACAATCGATCAGTGTAAATGAATATAAAAGTATCCTGAGTGTATTTTCAGTTAGTTCGAAGTATTTTTTGAGCTAGTTAGTTGCTAGGAATGAAAATTGGGAAGCGCGTTCTGTTCTAGTTGGAAACAGTTGGCTACATATACCTGTATATCATTGACGATACTCATTATGTAACTTGAACTAAGTACTATCCGTTTCAAACGTTAAAACGTTATCTACTAAACTCATGTAGTTCCCGACAGGATGAAATGCGCGTTCTTAATTCCATAGCTGGTCACAATCCAACTCTTTAGACAATTTCAGATATTCTATTGTATTTTAGTTAGTTGGTCTGCTATCAAAAAATGATTTTTAGATAAGCTTATCATCGGTTTAAAGCTTGCTAACTTGATTGTTCAGCATTAATTAACATTTATATATATGTGTTTAACTACAATCATTAACTGTAGTGTGAGCAGAAGTTAAAAATAATTCACTAGCTTCTGTTGTATATGTATAATCAAAAAGCTTCGCTGATAGATTTCATCAATCGGATTGTTTCATTAACTCACTAACGTTATGATCACAAGAAATAGGATAGTTTCTTTCTGTCATTAAAATATTTAACCAACCAAATAAGTGCTTTCTTATAACAAACTACATTAAATGTGGTCATAGTAACTTATATCTCATTTTATTTACGTACGATAGTGTAACTGAAATTATCATTCTGCAATGCAATTAATTTAGCCAGTGTGAATTTTAGGCAAATATAATAGTTACTAGGTTTGTGATAATAACTTTAAAATGTTACAGTTATACATACTTTTACACCAACAGTGAAATTTTAAATGTAATTAGCCACTCATCTTTTTGGCTTCTATTGTTTCTATAGTCATGAAAATGTTGTGCAAACACTGTTGTTCAATTTTCTTCATTGGCTTTTCTCGATTCATAGAAATACTATCTAAATTTACTCATCCCTCTTGCCACGTGTGTGTGGTTTTCAACGATGAGATGTCATTGTTTGTCAGTTGCTTGATTTGTCTATTCAAGCCAGGTCTTCTCCAGTATAAGTAGCACCTCCTTGACTTTATCCTTACTCAAAAAACAAAAAACCAATAAATATTCCCTCCCACAGTTTTGATGTCATCAGTTCATTTTATTATAGTACTTAATTCATGTAAGACGATCAGTTCTATAAAATACTCAGAGAAGACTGTTTAAAATTCAGTAAAAACTGACCGGTAAATTTAACTAATCGGTTTTACGCTGCTCAAACAAATCACCATGTAGTCTAAGATAAAGTTTTTTAGTTTTTAGAACAGGTGAGTTGCGACTTTCAATAGAATCCAAGAACCGCGTTTGATTTTATTTGACACTTACATGTCAGTTTTGGTGTCCACATTGGGACTCGAACCCAGTGCCTTCCACTTCAAGTACTGACGTGCTATCTACTGAGCTACTGAGCCCAAACAGATACTAACTTTTCTAAAGGTATGAAGTTCGTATCTTTGCCGGGAATTTCTAATTCTAGAGCACTTCATTAAAAACTTATTTTAGAAAATGTAATATAAATTAAAATTTATAACTTTTTTCTATGAAACTACTTTTCTATTATTTTGTAGTATTATCCGGTGGTCCATTGGCATCAGAATATAAGCTGATACAATTTCATTTACATTGGGGATCTGGTAATAATTGGGGCTCTGAGCATATGATCAATGGGATAAGTTGTCCAGCTGAACTACATTGTGTATTTATTAATACTAAATATGCTACAATGGAAACCGCTATTACTTATTCTGATGGATTATCAGTTGTCGGTATATTTTTTCAAGTTAGTTAAATTATGATTACAAAAACAGTGTATTTTACTTCATATAATATCTTGAAAGGATGGTTTATCGATCCGATGATTGATACACTTGAAGTTAATCTTTATTAGATTGCAGATTTAGATTCTGTTTGGAGGTAATAGGCATATGTTTGGGACCAACCAGCAATGCCCAACTAGATATTTACACAGAATCGACCCCAGCATCTGAATGTCTCATTGTGAGGGCTCGACTTCTAGATTATTGAGTTAGAAATGTAAGATAATGGAAATGGACTACGTAGTTTAAATGTTGAGCGCTTACCACGATGCTTGGACATCTTGGGGTTGATTCACAATGTGGTAGTGGATGTGTCATCCTTTGGAGTATCATACAAGGACGACATATCTGTTTAGTGTTACCTGCTATTAACTGGTTTTTAAATTATAGTCAATTTGTGATGTAAACTATAAAATTTAAACATCTTCACAAACCCCCTACACTGATTGTTTTCCATTTTTTTATCTATGACATAAACTTTGGTATAACATGACATTAAAAAAGCTGGCTATTAAGAAAGAAAATGATAATATTATGGGGAGAAACATGAAGAAAAAAAATAGTAAAATCATTAAATAAGGAGACAACAAGAATATACTTTAATAAAAAAATTACCAAGACAAATCCCATTCAGTTAAAAGTTTTATTTGCCATGTATCAAAAATCTACAGGAACGTTTTCATCGATCTCCATTCTGAGTTATGTCTGATAACGTTTCAATCCACGGAGATAAATGATCTATTAGAACCAAATGATGCAATCATGATAGACCAACATACATGATCACTATTTAGCTATTTTTCAGAGTCAGAAGTCATAAATTGACCATCTCTGTGTTTGTTTCATCCAGTTCAATCTCGGTAAATAATTAGTGGTTCGTGAGCTACAGAAAATAGAATTATATTTAGAAACCTCACTCTATTTCAGTTTGATTAACTGGGTAGAAACGTTGGTTTTTACACAATTAAAGTCCAACTCTAAGCAGATTATATATAAACTTGTATTTAAAAATTAAAAATACGCAGTTCAACGAAGGGATCTCTTTTCAACGAATTTATTATCAAACTGTACAATCGTATATATATGAAATTATTTTTGTTAAAGTACTAATTCCGTGAGGAAATGTGAACACCAATAACCAAGATGACGTAATAGAAAGATTATAATACTAGTTCCGTAATACGAATCATAACAATAGATTTAGATTTAGTAAGCTTGTAACGAATTATAACTTGAATGTAATAAGATGATTTAAATATTTTTGTTACAATAGTTAAAGGTCATTAAAGGTCATAGAGGTGTAAAAATAAATAGGATGATATGATGAGTATTTATGAATAAAATAATGAGAATATAAGACATAAGTAACGGGGGAATGCAGTAATAACAATAATAATAATAATAATAATAATAATAATAATAATAATAATAATAATAATAATAATGATAATAATAATAATAATAATTAACGTCAAAGTAACGATAACGATAGGACATAATCCTCTTGTACGCTTACTTCTGGCTTGAGCTCATGGATAGTAAGAGCGTCGGCTATTTTTAGGAGTTGGATACGAAGAAATCTAGGTAGATTTAAACGAATCATATATTCGACCTTAAAATCAAACTGTGGATCAGTAGAATGATTACAGTCGATTAGGTGTTCAGGTATAGTACTCCTAGCTATTTTCCTCCCACTCTTGTAGAACCAAACTGGGACATGTTTCCGTATCCGAGTTGAAAGCGAGCGCTGGCTACGGCCAATGTACCTTGCTCCACAAGAGCAGGTGAACTGGTAGATGCACATGGAGACGACCAGACGCGAAAGCTTATCTTCTATGGATACAGAAGTTCCTACTAGTGAGGGTTATTCATCTTACCACATTCACGTTATAACTCGTTACAAGCTTACTAAATCTAAATCTATTGTTATGATTCGTATTACGGAACTAGTATTATAGTCTTTCTATTACGTCATCTTGGTTATTGGTGTTCACATTTCCTCACCGAATTAGTACTTTAATAAAAAAGAATTTCATATATATATATATATATATATATATATATATATATATATATATATATATGATTGTACAGTTTGATATTAAATTCGTTGAAAAGAGATCAATTCGCTGACCTTCGTATTTTTAATTTTCAATGTTTAAATGGGAATTATCAGTCAAGCCTGTAATTGTTAATATACACTATTATAGTCATATTTTAATAAGGTGGTAATAATGATGAAAGAAAAATTAATTTAATAGACTCATTGAATTTAATTTCCCCAATAAAAATCACTTTCTTTTCCACATTCATCAAAGTAAGTGTCAACATAATTCACTGATTAAAGCCAAAAAATAGCATCAAACTATTTTTTTTATTTCATGAAATAGAAAGATATATATTTTCAGCTAAAGGTTGTGATGTTTGATGAATTTGATTTGAATCCTAAACTGATCAGTGTTGTTGTGAATTAGTTGAAATTATACTTCCTCAGTGGTCTGGAGGTTAAAAGTTCACGCGAGATCGAATGTCCTGGGTTCGAGTTCTGCGTGCAGGATCGTGGATGCCAGATTCTGAGGAACCCAATGCTGGAAAGAAATGGCCGTCCAGTGCTTCCTAGTTTTCACTGGTAGTCTAACATTGATCGGTCCATAATCTAAATGATATATAATTTATGTTTCGTAGAAATAAGCCAGATGAATTCCGTGACAAAGCCAACACCATGAAAGCCGAATTTCATCTATTTAATTATAATCAAGACTGCATGGTTTTCACCTTTTTGACTGTTAACTAAATCTTGTTTAATTTGACAAAATATTTAGTAACTTTTAGAGTTCAAACATCGCTGGATTGAAACTATTGATATCTATAAAACTGGATGATAATCACACCATAGCGTAATATTTAATAGATTTTAAATCATTAGCTGATCTTAGTTAAATTACTTTTGTAAACGTAGAGGCACTGGATAGCCGTTTCGCTCTACTACAAGACCCATCATCATTGCAAGTCCACAGCCCTTCCGCCAGGGTTTGAACCTAGGATCCTGAACTTCGCGAACAAACTTTTAATCTCCAGACTACTGACCTGGCATCAAGCAGCGTTAAAGTCTAACTTAAATCACATAACGATATTGTGTTACTGTCTTACATCTGTTCTGTTGTAAATTGACTGAAGATGGAACAAAACTACTGCTGAGAAGTTGACGACTGAGGGAAAACAGCCGTGCAGTGTTTCCCTAACTGAGATCAGTCAGCGAAAAAGATAACTCGTAAATTAAACCAAATCTTTACAAATGTTTGATACATCTGTTTTATTTTAGTATTTTCTCGCATCCAGTAATCATAATAATTGTTATATTTAGTATTATTTATTTGATAAAATAAATTTTCGGCTAAACTGGCTCAGACAACACCTTATTCTTGATTCATGCTACAGAAAAACACTTAAACAGGAGTCTGTGGATACATAAAATGAATAAATGAAGTCATTCGAGGTTAGATTGGATTCCTTTTTAGAAAAGAACAAAACTGAATGAATCAAATAGTAACGTTTACTATGGGTAAATATCTACTTTCAATAGACTAAATTTGAAGCTTATCATGCAAAACTCCATCGTCCTCGAAATTTTTTTTGTAATTTTTTAAAACGAGAACTAGCAAACTTAAGAGCGGTTGTGGGTAACACTTATATCTACATCACATTTGAAGTAACTTTAGTCATCTTCAATTTAAATCTCAAGCCATAATCTCTCTGTTCTACTTTTGTTCTGATTTACACTAACGTAATGATCCCACAAATTTTCTCTGATATTTGCCTGAAGAATTAATATTTGATGATTATTCTATTCTCAATTCACGGGAAATATATTGAGATCGCTTTGTGAAACTTATAAATTAAAACCACGTTCGAATCCTGGAGTGGACATCAACTTGTAGACGCTGGTACATCAAGGTGATGAGTCCGAAATCGGATGAAGCTCATGTCCTAGATACAACTTCTATCCAGATTTCATCTATTCTTTATGACCGTGTACCGATTGTAGGGTACTTTGAAAACAACTCCCTGCCAATGACTGATATCAACTGTGGAACGTCTTAAACTTGTGAAGTACTGAAAAAATATTGCTCTGCAATACATCCACTAAATCATACCAAATCAAATCTGAGGGTTTCAGAATATGGGTAAAAAAAATCTCTCTGAGCCACTTGATAGAAATTAACCATTTATGGTAAAGATAATCACAAACATTAGCTATGAGTTCAGTCTTTCAGTAGTTTTAATTCATATCAGAGGGGTCTTGTGGATATTATAGTAATTTCAATGGTTGAGATCATGAGTCAATTGAAGCTAGACCACCATGGAAAACCCGGAAGCACTGAACGGCCGTTTTGTCTTATTTTGAGACTTCTCAGCAGTGCGCATCCAGAATCCCTCCTCGTGAGATTCAAACCCAGGACCTACCAGTCTCGCGCGCGTCAGCGCTTAACCATTATACCACTGAGCTGGCCGGTATTGAACGGTATTAATGTCTAACTTCAACCGATCCACGAAATTGAGCAACACATCCAGTGCCGTTCAGTGCTTCCACGTTTTTCATGGTGGTATAGCTTCAACTGTTTCATGATCTCAACCATTGAAATTACTATAATATCCACAAAATCCTTCTGATATGAATCAACATATGCTCACTAGTGACTGACTTCAAGAGATATATCCTGGAGTTCTAGTGAGAAGCAGTTACAAATGTAGTTATTAATTCTCAGGTTTATAGATTCTTTATTAAATAAATAGTGTAAACGCTTTTTAATATGTTTTAATAGTGATCTATAACACATGTTGTTACGTAGACTTAACTATACTCCAACGCTAACTAAGGCGTCAAAACGTGTTACTCATTTTACCCTACTTTTAATTCGGAATGATTACAATTGATTTAATTGACTGTTACGAAATTTTATTGTAAATTACCCCATCAGGTGATGAAATTACGTTTACTATTCAAAATGTGTATAGGCCAACTACCATAAAACCTATTAAAATGGGTTAATTAGAAATTGAACAAATTTCCTAATTTTATGCTCTGGAACTATCTTCTACATATGAAGAACTACTATAAAAGGTCAGCTAATGTGATCAGAAAGCCATCGTAACATTATAATTCCTTTGATCAATCAGTTATCTTAATTGTTATAATGTTGGATATCCAAGATAGTATTGAAAATATAAAGGTAGGAATGCCCATACTTGTTTGAATGGAACAAGTAACTCATATGCATTTTATCAGTTAATTGTGTCTTGAATACATATTATCATTATACATTGTGTTCTACTTGATTCGGAAAATGAATAAAAAATAATACGAAAAACGTATAGTAGAAGTACTCATCATTGATTAATATTCCATATATATCATATTAATACTATTTACGTGTTTGTTCCCCAATACCTAATCAATATTTCAAGGACACTTAAGCTTGAAGATCCGTAAGCTCCGCATATATTTGACAACAACAAAAAACTATTAAAGAGTACATGTGTCAGGAGCCATCGAATTAAATTTTTTTTACTGAATTCAGTGAACTCCAGGAACTCAACCTACTTTCATTTTTTTATTAGGAAATCTTTCTTTTTATTTGAAAAAATACTTAGATTTAGAATACTTTTTTTCTCTTCTTAATTTCGCTATTTTTTCCTTATGAATAATTTAATATAGTTGTTTCCTCTTTTTTCTCTTTCTTTCTTCTCCTTAGTATTCTTTATATAATTAGCTATAAACCCATTATCGGTCGTTTATATTCTGCACCATTCCAATGAAATCTCTCTTTTTCTTTTAAATTTAATTAATAAAAGTGGAACAACTCTAGTTCTTTGTTTATTTGTTTGTCTTTAACGATTTGTTGTGTTTGTTGTGATTTGACTAGGGTAATAATTTCAACCAATTAAATGGAAAGGGTTTTGTGGAGATTTTAGTAGATGTTAAGCGTTCGCGCGCGCGACTGATAGGTCTAGGGTTGGAATCTTGTGGGACGGGATCGTGGACACGCGCTTTTGAGGAGTCCCGAAATAGGACGAAACGGCCGTTCAGTGCTTCCAGATCTTACGTACTGGTCTAGCTTCAACTGACGCATGATCTCAACTATTAAGATTAAATACTGTGTATACTACATTCGACTTTGTTTATTAAATTATTCTAAATTCCATGATAATAATAACAAATCTTCTGTAATTGTTCATAATTATTTATAATAATAGAAAGAAAATACTGTCCATCTATGTCTCAATGATCTTAATCAGTAGAAAATTGAATTCTGTTAATTTCACAGATTTGTATAAGTCACATCGTTACAGAATAAATAAATAATTCAGTTGCATTACCATTCGTTTAAATAGTAAAGAGAAACAAGGCTGAATATTTAGTATGGTCAATATTTTGATTGAGTTTTTTTAGTATCTAAGCATTATAATCATAAAATCATAATTATTTGAAAATAGTTTAAGATGCCAGATAGTCTCCTTTGTCAATTCAATAGTGTGTGAAAAGGTTTTCATGTCTAATAAAAAGCAACTAAATTCATAATGAGGTTCTAATAACATTTTATTCATAACAGATTATTCATGTCGGTTAAGTTAATAAATAAATGATTGAAGTTAGACATTAACACCATTGGATGCCGGCTCAATGGTCTAGTTGGTTAAGCGCCTGGTGCGAGACCCATAGGTCCTGGGTTCGAATCTCGCGGGGCGCGGGATCGTGGATGTGCACTGCTGAGGAGTCCCATACTAGGACAAAACGGCCGTCCAGTGCTTCCGGGTTTTCCATGGTGGTCTAGCTTCAGTTCTGTGAAATTTCTAAAATCTCCACAAACCTCTTCTGAAAATAAATGATATACAAACGTTATTAATCTATTACTTGCCAGTGATTATCATACCGTAAACCTAAATAAACTGTATAAAGTTAGATCATGGAGTGATTTATAATAAAATAAAATAACTAGTATACGCTTGAATAACAAATTTAATGTTACGTGGTTAGACGTAGGCAATAGGAAACAGTGGTATACATCAGTATGGGGATAGTTGTAATCTTCAAAGAACAGAAGCTCATTATAACATTCGAATCAGGATAATCTAGTTTCACATCCTAATAGATTAACACTGAGATAACTGGACCTCTGCTGAATTCCTTTAGGTTTAATTTATTAGCATTTATTAATCTCTAAGTAATGATGTATTCTTCTTTATAGCATATTTCTTTTGATTTCGTAAGAACGTTTTGAAGTAAAAGAAGAAATGTGTGTCAAAGTTATCATTAAAACATGAAGCGATGATTTGGTGATGTAATTAAGATATCAAACTATATAAATTAATTATTGAATTGTTTTGTTCGTTGTCAGATGTTATTTAGAACAAAGTTTTTTATGTATGGTTTATCTGGGTTGGAAACGAAAAGACTTTTTCAAAGAATCATCATACGAAAACCATTAGTAGGCTCGTTTAATTTAAATTATAAATGGATGAATAAACCGTCCATTTGTTAACTAACATCAGTTTTTAAAACGTCAACCCAACCCTTTTAGAAGCGTTAACTTTGTCGTACAAACAAGGGCGGTATTCAATTAAAAGTTCAGAAATGAAATGTGAGATAAAAATGTTAGTCTGTATTGCTTAAACAGACTGAAATACGTTAATGGTGTTGGAGTGACACTTAATAATACTAGGATGGGTTAAATTAGATTAAATAAAACATCGAGAGGAAGAACGAAACATGAATTTTATTTTAATAACTACAAATTTTATTTCCCTACCTAATCCTACTTTATAACAGAAGCTTGATTACGTAACGTTGAATTGATCTGTTTCTTATTTTGTACTATATATGTAACCAATACGGTAGAAAATTACATACATTTTACATTCTCACATTGACGATATATTCCATGTTCTCGTAAAAGCACACATTTTTAGTCAGTTACACGAATAACTTAACGTTATGAATAATAGGTTTTTTGTTTCGATCAAAAATGTAAGACAGTATACAATAAAAGTAAATGAAATATTCCAGTTATAATTTTTATTGTTTGTTAAGTAATCAACCACCCGATCAACACTATTGTCATTTTCACTAAATAACTAAATGGGTACCTTTTATTCACTGAATATAGACCGAAAATATTTTATGGGGTTTTGAGATTTTTTAAAATTCATCACAGATTTATCTCCGTTGGTGTACCATTAAAAACCAAAGATCACTGGATAAGTGCCCCCTTACCAGGGATCAAACCCAAATCCTTTGAGCCTAGTACAAGGCGCTCATTAGAATAGTTCCAATTTAAATCAGTTTATGATATAATGTGGCGATCATTCGATATTAATAATGACATTTAGTTTGAATCCCGACGTATGTAAACATAGCCTGTTACATATTCTTGCTACAACTTCTTAAATATTTTAAAGTAAACCACTAGTTAGCGGATTATTGTTGTTTACTTCAAGGGGTTTTTGTGGATAATGTCAGTTTGCAGGCAACATTTATCGAATAAAGTCACTGAATAAGGTCCAAAATTACATTAACAATATTACTACTACCGCTATTGATAACATTATTAACAAAGCTTTATAATGTTTATTTTATAGTTGGGCAAATCATCGAATAATAATAACGCCTTAAAACGTTTATGCTCATTGTTGAAATCAACAAAGAAAGGCGAAAGCAAAGATATTCAACCTATGCTTGATTTGAACACACTTTTGCCAAGTGAGTAAATAATTTTTAACTATATACAGCTACATATATATATATACAATATTTAGTAGGGGTTCGAATTCTCCCATTATGAATATATATTTCTGGTTGTCAAGTTAAAAAGTACATATATTGCATAAGTTGAAATTATTAGAAAAGTCTTACGTAACATGATTTTTATTTTTCTTCAACTAAAGTCATCGGTAATTTCTCTAAGTGCTTAACATTTGCATGTCTAGTTTGTATTGTTTAATGCTATATCATAAATGTTGACAATATTCTTTGATAAGATTTAGTCTTTAACTAGTATATTTCGAAATTGATAGTACTTTTTCATCTGAGCTATTAAAAATAAGTTTGTGAAAAGAGTGAACTTGTATTTTCGTCCTCATCAATCTATAATCATTTTAACTATTTATATAAAAAAAATCAGATGGGGATTTTGTGGATAATATAGTAATTTAATAGTTAAATTCCTGAGTCGATCGAAACTAGACCACCATAGAAAAAGTGGAAGCATTGGACGGCCGGTGGAGCAACTTTATGGATTGGTTCAAGTTAGACATTAGCACTGTTCAGTGCCGACCGGCTCAATGGTCTAATGGTTAAGCGCTCGCACACGAGACGAATAGGTCCTGGGTTCGAATCTCACAAGGAGGGATTGTGGATGGGCACTGCTGAAGAGTCCTATGCTAGGATGAAACGACCATCCTGTGCCTCCAGGTTTTTCAGGATGGTCTAGGTTCAATTCACTCATGAATTCAAATATAGAAAAATTATAAAACACAATCCTTTGTAACAAATGATAAGTGAATTGATCCACCCTCTAAAATTAGCATTTATTTATGCACGAATCAGTTGAAATTAATAATTAGCTTATTTACAAAAACATAAAATCATATCTGTGTATTAAAGTATTTTTACACTTTATCATAGTTACACATTTTATTATTTACATTATTATAAGCCAACACTGACGATAATTGACTGATCTACATTTCACTATGTTAAGGCTGTTACAAATTTACGTAAACAAGAGTATTCACGTAGGCCGATGATAATGATTGAATATTAAATTTAAAAAAAAGGATAGATTGAATTTTCTAAATATAACTCTGTTTATTTAATACGAAAAATATAAAAATCTCAAAACGCACAGTACTACTATTACCACAATACTTATTATTATTATTATTATTATTATTATTATCTAATACCGTACGACAGAAACAGAAATGTATGTTCATTGTTTTAAACACGGTCTAATTAAATAACATTGACAAATGTCATAAACATAGTTTTTAATTTTCTAATTCATATTATGCCTAGTAATTTCATTAGAATACATGAACGTTATTTAACTACGAATAAAATTATTAAATATCCTTTTTAAAAAAAACACATCGGATTACTAAACTACTGAGATCATGATTTTTTTGGAGGGGGGTATTTAGATTGTTACCAAGCTGTACAGTCCGATTACTCCAATGATTAAAAAGTCATTATCATTGATGAGATTTCCATTTTCACACAAAAATAAAAAAAAAACGTTTTTCATATTGTAATAAGTAATCTTTTGCTTTTTTTAAAAAAAAATTGTACAAAAATATCAGTGGTTTATAATCAGATTGGCGTATAACATCTTTTAATCAATTTTACAATTTATGAAAATCATGCAAATAGTTGCCATATATACTCTCTCTCTAACGTTTAGACTACATTTTATGTTCCTTATCAGTTAATGACACTTTCTAGTAAAGTGATTGAGTTTCCCTGGTATATTATGGTTTGTTCAAGAAAAAAATCCAAATAACTTATGTAACTATTTTATCCATTTAATTATTATTATTACTGACTTTATTCGGTATTACATTTCTGGTACAATATAAAATTCTCAGCGCAAAGTATCACAAAAATTTTCCTTTTCTTATTTCTTAATCGATCTTGACGATAAATATTGAGTAATCACTAATTAGATGTTAGCAGTTCGAGAATCGAATAATTGAATAACACACATTCATTTCGATACATATTGCCAGCAACCACGAAGTCTCTGATTGGTCTCTTTTGTAACTTGTACAGCGAAATGTTATAAATTTGTCATAAACTCTCCTAAATAGGTTATGCGACTAATGGGCATAATGATGTGTTAAAATAAACAAGAAAACAGATAACTTGTTGAAATATCCAGATAGCAGGAACAGGTAGCCTAGATATTCATACAGGTCGCCTAGAATTAAATAATATCACGGAGTTCCCTTAGAGACTAGAGAAAATTTACTAAACTGTCTAAATTTTTTATTAACAAAGTCAAATACAATCACTTTACCTAAACAATAATGTTGTTATTTTATTAGTTTGTTAAAATTTTAGACTTTTCTACGTTTGTTTTTATTATTGATTATTAACTATTTAGTAATCGGTTTTTACCACTCACTAATGATTTAACTAATTTTATACATTTTTTTTAAATGACTGTTAAACAAAATTATTTGTTCACATTTTTTTGTTTTTGTGTTGTTGTATATTTTGCCTTCAAGTATACATACCAAAGGTGAAAATCAATCAACCAATTGGTTGTAAGAGGGAATAAATTTCTTAGCCTATAAATTTCATGTATTTTGTTTTATTGAACGACATAGTAACCAATAATCTTATTGTTGAGATAATTTGTGTAAATTATACACGTATTTTAGTATTTTGTATTTACTTTTAGTTATTTGTAATGATTATACATCGTTATCATTCGTTATGTGTGTATTACTGTTGATATGTTTTTAAAAAAAGAAATATATGTTGATAGATCCTTCCTTAATGCTTCATGTTAAGTAAAGTATTGAATAAAGTATGTGAATGATCTCCTTCTGATAAATCCACTTGTTAACCCTCACATCAAAATCATCTTTATATAATATTCTTGCCAATGAATAATGATTGATACTAGATTTAGAATAATGGACATAAGAGATTAGGTTGAGTTTTACAAAGGTTTCCAACAAATGGTAGTTCGAGAGATTCTGATACATATATATATATATATATATATATATATATATATATATATAGTACGTTGGTCATTTTTCCTTAGACTTCAAGTAATTTATTGGTCACTTTATACAACGAGTTGATATTGCCGAAAACCGAAGAAGCGCTGCATAGTTTTTCACTCATTGTTTGAAACTTTTCAGTCACACACATTTATCTAATACTTTATATGAAGTATAATTAAGATCATTCAACTTCTACCGTACGTATGATTAGATTATTAAGCTGAAAACCAAAGGTCAGCACTTTCAATTTCAGAAAAAATATTGTGTTTCGGTACGGTCCTCAATGATAATCGTATATACATAGTCTTCCCTCTAGAACGTTCAGATATCCTTCTCAAGTCTTGTTGTCAAGTGCATGTTTATGTTATACTGAAGTGACTCTGGAAACTATTTTATAATCAAATGGTGAATTTTATTATAAACGAACGTCAGCTGAAGTTCACACCTATCCGGCGATCTCTGGTTTTTGAAAGCTCTCCAAATTATGTCAGTTTCTAGTTAACGTAATCTAGATGCATTGTTCACGTATATATATGCATAATGTGATGTGAAAAAAATGTATCCGTGAATTAAGAAGCAAACTTGATGACGTAAGTAAAAGATATTATCTAACATTCTATCAACTAGTGTTGTCGAAATGTCATTTATGTCTAGGTTTGTAAACGGAATTGGCCGTCGGTTGGTGACTAGCCGTAGAATCCAGGACTCCCACTTCAGCATCTTCAGGACTCTTCAGCTAGATGTACCTGCATCTTAGAATTACTGTTTACCCGGTAACTCGATGTGAATACTGTCCGCTTCAGATTTCAACTAGACACTGACTTGTATAATTGAGCGGAATTTAATCTATTTGTTTTGGTTGTTCGAATCCTTCCATTAGCGTTTTGCGACTCTAGTTTGATATATATGCATGTTGTGTGAATTATCTCGATACTACGATATTGTGATTTAATTTTAAAATCTAGGCAAACTGTATCGGCTTCACATATTCCAAAAGAGACTGATCAATAGCAGCCGTAATCATCAATGGGAATATTCAAACAATCAATACGAATGAAATTGACCATCGTTTCATTTTCGTACATTATAATTGTTCCCAAAATCACCTGAAAAATCAGCACGTGCGTAAGTGTTGATTATCTATTTCGTCGTTCATGAGTCCAATATACCCGGATTAAAATCAAAGGGTGAAGATTCTATCAATTGTTTTTAGAATGAATGTTTTACCTTCGACATCCTGGATTAAAGTTAGGTTACTACTACTTGTAAACACGAAATAATATTCATTTATTCATGGACGTTTCATGATCGTAGGTAGACTGTCACTGAATTTACAGAAGCACTAAACATCTTTTTTTCTAGTATGGAACTCCACTATTGAGACCAACCTCGGAAAGTTCTATTTCGTGCGCAAATATTTAAGTTCTAGGTTACTGAGCCGAAATCCAACAACCTACATATCTAACTTTAACAGGTTGCCGATGTAATTATTACTAAAAATTGATTTGCTAATGCTTTCCAAGCTTCCAATATTAAAGTTCAATCCTCCTTGACAAAAAGCAGTTGTAAATACGATAGAAATACAAACTCTGTTGAATTCGTATGCATTTTAGCTATCTTTATCAATTTTTTTAATATAACAAATGTTAATATATTTACCAACGTTAGAACTAAACATTTCAACAACCTTGGAAACAATGGTGAATTAAAAGTTCCAGTTACTTGTATTACTAATCTTCATTGCTTTTTTTCAAAGCTCTACATGTACTACAAACGATATTGTCCCGTAGCCTCAAACGACACCTGTGTCATCTCTGTCATTGAAAATAATTACTTTTAAATTTTATCTCCTCGATTTTAAGCCATCAGATTATTTTAAGTGTAAATCAGTTTTGTTCTTTTTTTCAATTAAGTAATGAAATAAAGACTTAGTCAATAAAATCTTAAATTGAAACAAAAAAATTTATAGGCTGGGGATAAACTCCACGTTGTCAATTTATCTAAGTTTATCGTAGTCAGTAATAATGGGTATGTTTTCGTTTATTTAGTCACTAAATTGTGGATATTTTGATATAATTTTTATTGTAGAATTAATTTGAGGTATGATTTTTGCTATGTTGTAATTTTTCTTCTATCATGGCTGACTCTGCTACACTTAATGCATCCATAGCACCATGGAGTGGTAATTTAGTCGAAGACAATTCCACATTTTTCATGTAGTCGAGTAAAAACGACAAAGAACGAAATATGCTCTACATCATAGATTACGATAGTGCAATCAATAATTCGCGTTTTATTTTTGGTGGTTGTCAAGTGCAGGGTCAAAATTGCGAATGACAGTGGAGGTTATCCCCACTTAATTTATATGATCGCTTAATTACAAAGAATTGAAGACAATTCACTGGAAAAACTTCTCTTCTATATAATCATTTAACAAAGCTGTACATCTTTATTATTAGTGAAAGGAGTACACAATTTATGTACATTATGTTGGTAATTATTCATTATTTCTCTTAAAAACACATATGAATTTATAATCCTTGACAAACAATCATTTGATTGTTATTAATTTCACTGTTATTGTTTTTATACACTGTATACTGTTTGAATATTAAGATGAAAATAACTTAATTGGCCATAAAACGGATTGGAGAAAGTAATGAAAAATAGAAATAATGATAAATCACAATTAATTAACATCCATGAATAATTGCTCGAAGGCATTATTGATGGGAAAAATAGAAAAAAACAAACTAGAATAAATGTTAAGATCATGAAAGAATGAGTGTTTATATGTTATACATTTACACAGACACATATATATAGAGAGAGTTTAAGCACGAACGCATTATTTGTTCAAACTCCTACAATACATAACAATTAGGTTATCTGTGTAGATTATTTTAAAAACTAATTCAGGTGGAATGAAATATTCCACTATGAATTCATTGACTGTGCTAAATTGATCTTTTAAAAATCCGTTCAAAGTAATATCTTCATGATGATTCTTGTAAAAGTTAAAAAATCGTCAAACACTTGGTGATACACTCGCTTTAAAATTTTTAACAGACTAATATATTAATCCACGATATTGAGCGACACATCCACCATTGTTGATTAGTTGAAGTTAGACATTAACACCGTTTGATGCCGGCTCGGTGGTCCAGAGTTTAAGCGCTCGCTCTAGCGAGGCGGTATCGTGGGTGCCCGCAACTGAGAAGTCCAACAGTGGGACGAAACGGCCGTTCACTGCTTCTAGACTTTCCATGGTGGTCTAGCTTTAATCGACTCATAATCTTAACTATTAAAATTAATATCCACAAGACCCATTTTGAGACTAATGTACTTTTTTAAATCATTATAGATGCAATTAATTATTTAGCTTTGATAAACCGTATTATCATGAAGAAAAGTTTCTCTTTTTTTCAATAAAACAATAAGTTTCATTGTTTATAAGTCTCTTGTTATTATTATTGTTTTGGATTTTTATTTTAATATCTTTTATTATGAAGATATTTGGTGATATTATTCTACTATTAATAATGTCTTATCATGTAATATTAACACAACATTAATTGTATTAAAGTTTTTGAGGTTAAATTAAAACTCTCCAATGTAATATACTTACTTACGCCTGTTACTCCTAATGGAGCATATGCCGCCGACCAGCATTCTCCAAAGTACTCTGTCCAAGGTCTTCCTTTCTAGTTCTATCCAATTGTTATTTATTATTCTCATATCTGTCTCCATTTCTCGGAGTAATGTTTTCTTTGGTCTTCCTCTTATCCTTTGGCCATGGGGATTTCAAGTGATAGCTTGCCTTCCGACGCAGTTGTGTGCTTTTCTCAAGGTGTGCCCTATCCACTTCCATCGCTTCTTCCCCCACTGGGATCTGGTTTGTTCTCTCACACAGTCAATGTAATATAACTATCCATTTATTAAGGATACATTATTTGATTAATCAACTTATGACATTTTGAACATAATAACTAAACATTTTGACTGATAACATAAACCGATCAATGTTAGCCATTAAGAAACTGGAAGCACTGGATGTCTGTTTCGTTCTAGTATGGAACTTCTCAGCAGTATACATCCATGATCTCATACTAAGAGGAAACGACCATCCAGTGCTTCCATGTTTTCAATGGTAGTCTAACATTGATCTATTCATGATCTCTATCAAAACTTAATAATATCCACAACTCTTTACTGATAACTAAAAATTTATCAAAGTTTAATGTATTCTTAAGACTTACAACTATTTTTAATGATTGTTTTAATATTAAGACAAAATTTAATTAAAGATTTTGCCTCCTTAATTTATGTTAGATTCTAATTCATTTATAAACAACATGATATTTTATTGTATACATTTTTTAAATCATTTGAAAAAACATCAATAATAATAAGCAAAGGTGGATGGTGGTTAGTAGTGAAACCTAGGACGCGCGTTTCGACCTATTTGGAACTCATTAGTTGGATGTACCTACATTCCAGGTTTAATGTTCAAAACGATGGAAGAAACATGTGTCTTGGATTCCACTGATAGCCATCATCCATCTTTGCTTATAATGATTGAAACTCATGGAATTATCGAGGCAATCCCCGCAGGATGCAGATTACAGTCTTATCAATTACAGTCCTAAAAATCAATGAGAATATTCAGATAACCAATACAGAAATGAATTACCAATAATAATTAGTTTATTAAACAGCATCAAGTTATTTTATCAAGTAAAATTAAGGCGCAAGATAGTGATACAATGAAAACCAATATATGAATACTAATATATATTATGAGTGGTTTGGTATGTTTAGCTTGAATGTAACAAAATCAGTAGGAATGGTAAACTAAATACTCGTTGCTATCTTGTCTTTTATAATTCAGATTAAAATTCGATCTTAATTAGATAAACTACAAATCAATGAGTACTGAAAAAGCTGTTTTGTTCTAGTACAGGGCTTCAAAACAGTACCCATCCACGAACTTTGAGGTAAGGATCCACGGACTTCAGGTTTCGTGGCGAGATGCATTCATATCAATGGAAGTTGATTGCGCAATAATGTGAATTGATTGGAGTTAAACATAGAAGTGATTGAATGGGGACTTAGTGGTTTAAATGTCTGTCATGAGACCCAAAGTTTCTTGGTTCGTTTATTTATTTTATTTAAACACATAAACATTGGTACATGAAGACACCAAATATATATGTGTCTCACAAATCATTTGATTTGCGTAACGGTTAGAATACTGACTCCGTGGCCAAACCGAAGCATGTGATTTTCTTAGGAAACCACACGTCGTGCCTTTGACCTTGGGGTCTAATCCACAATTCAGTAGAGCAACGTTAGGAGATGCAGTCCCATGGTAGCCGGTGACCAACAATATGTTGATACGTCAGTCATATCCTCAGGATCCTGCGGCCGATGTGCACCTTTGGCTTGGAATAAGGGTTTACCAACTCCCTTAGGTGGATCCTCCATATCCACCAACTCGGTTAAAGTGCCGGACATTCGCTTTTCGTCCTCTCAATTTCACAAACAACCTCCCCGTCTCGAGAAGGCACTGATTAGGACTTCCCTGGCAATAGATATTTAGTGGCCCGTGGATCTAACTCCAATTAGATCGTATGAATGTTAGTTATCGCCTATCCTCGTATATAATCATCGACTTAAATCGCGGAATTAAATGAGTCGAATAACGAGAATGGACTTGTGAATACATATATTTTTGTATATAAAGCGAATGGAATAGAGATAATAGAAACGACGTAGATTGGAGATGGCTGGTAAGCCAACTCATTTTTAGCCAGGCGTTACTCAACAGTCATAGTTACACAAAAGTAAGTTACAGACATGTAATGAGCAGTGGGATAAGAAGTGTACACACATCCACACGCTCATATAAAAACAGTGAAGATTGTTAAGAGAATAATTAAAAAGGTCAAAATGTGACTCAAGTAGAAGGAATAGAAGGGGCTGTCCGAAAGCTAGAATAAGGTATATGGGCTTAACATAATAACCGACACTACATATATATACGCGTGGCCATGTGAGAGCATTTCGAGAGGGGAGGCGGACTATCCCCAGCTTTGAAAATACCAGGGCATTTGGAGGCTGACTCAAATCATGCATGCTCTGGACGTACTTTGCACGCTTGAAATGAAATCTTTGATGAAAATTGTACTCTCTGTGATGCTGTGGCTTATTAAATGAAGAGGAATGCGGCCAAAATTTGCGCATTCAACACACTAACTGGACTTTAAAAATAATGTGCATAAATTTAGGTGATTTGTTTTATAGATAATGAGTTCCTCAGTTGCATGTTAAATGATCGTTTTTCCCTAATCGTAAAATTTTTATATCGTACAGATGATTTATCCAGATACTACACATATTCCGGATCATTGACTACCCCACCATGTAATGAATGTGTCACATGGATCGTTCTAGATGAGCCGGTAGTGATGACTATTGATCAAGTAAGTTTATACACTTGAATGAAGAAATAAAATTTTCCATTGTTCTACCTTGTGTCATTTATGTTAAATTTTTTGAGACTATGAATCAATCACTGGAAACCTGGAAGCACTGAACATCTGTTTCGTATGGATGAAATACAGGAAAAGTTTTTAATCCTATTATTGACTTGTCAACTAGATGTATCTCAAAACCACCTTATAAAGCGGGTATGAATTTGATTTGTAAGGCTTTACAGTTTCCTATTCCATTACCAAACATCACAAATCTGTACTAAAAAGTTGTGGCTCAATTGTAATATTGAGACATTCCTTTCACATGTCAACAGAAATCTGACCCATTGCAGATCGAAATATCAAATAAATAGATCTATAAAAACAATAAATTAGATAAAAAGATTAAATCGATTCCGTGACAGTGAATCTACAACAAGATATGTCTTGATAGTGATTCATTTCAAAAATCGATCCTCACAAAACAAACCCATCAAACCCTAATAAACATTACATAACAATTCATTCTGAATAAAATCCAACTCCACCTTATAAAGTAAGTAAGTTCATTTCAAATGACCAAATTAAATTTCATAATCTAACTTCAGTTCACTACTTGAATTTCAAATATATAGATTATCACTGAAGTTAATATAATTTTGGATGTTTTCTTTTTTTTTTTTCTTCTTTCTCTTTTAAATAATTTTTGATCCATTTCTCTAAACTACAGATAAAAAAAAAGAAAGTGAAATATGAGCACATAAAAAAAAGAAGAAATAATAATAATACTCTGGAGACTAATAAACCTACTTTTTCCAAATCTGTATTTATGCATATTTGATTAGATCGCATTGTGTTATGTATAATCCCTTAAAATTAATTAGGGAATATTTTCTTTCAACTAGTTCATTAATTATTTTCTATACATGAATATCTGAAATCTTCTTTATTTTTTTTTTGTTTTTTTCAACAAAAAAAGCAAACGAAATAAACGCAAAAAGCTGAAAAGAAGATTAAAAAAATCATCACAATTTTGTTTGTTCTCTATTTTATTTTTAGTTTCTTTTGTTTCATTGTTTACTGACATATTTCTGATAGAATCGAAATATTTGAATCAGTCGACTTGTTTTGTTTTGTTTTAATCCATTTCTATTATAAGTGAAAGATTGAATTTTTATTGTCATGTATTCAATTTTATTCAATAATAAATGATTTACTATCAGAGAAAGAGACACACACAGAGAGAGCGAGAATTTGTTAGTCAGGAAAACTAATTCTAAATGTCCACTGAGATATAGAAACATCTAGATAAAGAGTTTGAATTCGGATGAAACTACTGACACCGGAATCCTTGTGTTCTATAAAACTGTGTAAAATAGAATGGCTATTTTATATAGGGTATTTCTATGTTAACAAAAGCTTATTAAATTTCAGTCAAGATTATTAACAACGGGATAATTCAAATTTCGATCATGTAATAAGAAGACGAAGATTATCAGAACTATGTAATGATATATTAGCGCAATAAATTCCGAACAATCTAATCACACATTACATACTTGTTAAGAACATTTATATATAAAAATAAACGGTCATCTAGACTGGAAATGGGGTAAGAGGAGACAACGATAATAATAAGAGTAATGGTTGAAAAAACAAATAGAATCAAGTTTTGATAATCTTCGTCGTCTTATTACATGATCGAAATTTATCAAATAGGCTAATTGCATTAAATAATTCAAATTATTTGCCGTATTTATGTTGTTATCCTTAATCAAAGATACATATATAATTTTTTGTTTCTTTGTTATTCTAAAATCAGCTTGAAACATTACGACAAATGCATGCTAATTGTGTAACCTGTGGTCAAACCGATAATTTTCGTCCAATTTGTCCAATCGGTTCACGTTTAGTTAGATGTTCATTTCGAGTTTAAAAATAAATAAAAAAACATAACAACAAAGCAATCCAATGTAGCCAGATTCATTGAATACACATGCAATTGACTCATTTACTCATTTTATTTACAACCGTATACAGAAGAAAAAAAGTTTTTCTCTCTTTCATTTACAAAAGAATCAGGAATATTTCAATCTATCCAATAGTATTCTAGTCGATATTCACAATCATATGAGACTATACTATACATTGCTTGATTATTTTCACAGAATATTTACCAAAAATAAAATAAAATAAAGAGAACCATTATATCAAATTATTGTTTCCTGTTCTTTTAAACTATCAAATTACTACAATACACAGTTTATTCAACATTGAATTGATGTTTTAATGCTTCTTTTCATTATATTGTAAAAATTTAACTAAGCAAGATTCTCATTTTATTCTAGTTAATTAATTACTTAATTAATTGATTTTTTTCTTTTATTTTCATCATTTTATTGATTATTATTTAATTATTAATCATTTTATAAAGGGTCTCGTTTCCTTTCCTTTACCTCCCTATCAATGTTAATATCATTTAATGATTTTAGATTTGAAGAACACATTACTTTCATTTGTTTGTTTTCAATGAATTAAACAGAATAATAAATAAATAATTAAATATATGTATGGAAAATTCTAATTCAAATCATTTGAAGTTTTCTAAGAAATGACTTAACAAGCTGGTTTTAAAAATATACTACTGTTATGTAATTGATTCAGGCGAAGTTGCATTCTCTATGCGCTGAATTGTTTATTTGTGATAGTATTATCATTTTTCTAAACACGTTCAAGACAATGATAACAGTATGAAGATTTGATGAAAATGCAAAGGAAGCCGAAAATAGAGGTTCTTAATATTATTTGTATTAAATGAAACTTGAACGATTAAGAACATATATATATATATATATATATATATATATATTTTGGTTGAGATCATGAATCACTTGATGTTAGACCACCTCCTCCTCTGAGGAGTCCCATACTAGGACGAAACGGCCGTCCAGTGCTTCCAGGTTTCCAACGGTGGTCTAACATCAATTGATTCATGATCTCAACCAAAAACTTAACAATATCCACAACCCCCATACTGATATATATATATATATATATATATATATATATATATATATATATACTCATTAGGTTTATGGATATCCTCGAAAATCATCTGGCACAGAAATCAGGTTGTCATACTAAAAAAACAAACTTGAAAGTCGGTAATTTAAAAAATAACTCCTGTCAACAACCCAACAGAAATATAATGACCGATTTCAAGTGATAAAAATCAATAAACGTGACAATGATTAAATGTTATTGGAGATGAATAATAGTCATAAATTACTTCAATGTTTACGTTTCTATATTTAAAAGTGCATTTTACATATTTTGTTACAGATTAAAATTTTACATGAATACACTTCATAGATAAATATCCACTTCATTACTGTGTTATAACTTGTGACCTTATTGTCCTATCAATATATAACGTAATGGTACCGCGAAATAGAGAATATTTATTTATTGATCGGACCGGTAACGCATAAAATCCGTACAAGTAGTCTAGAGTCCTTATCGGTTCGTTTTCCTGCCTAGCCCTACCTCTTGAGTCCAGAACACCAATCTCAGCCTTCGTGATATGAATCATGTATTTCTAACATACTGGGTTTATATACAAATTAAATAGATCACATCGTACCATAAAATAGAAAATATTATTTATATAAGACTTAGACAAAAGTGGCTGTGAATGTGGGCGACAGGAACTAGTAGAATAGGCATCACTCAAGAACGGTAAGTCGTATAATAATAGTCTATGAGTCAAAATAAAACTTGAAATAAAGGAAGTATAGATATACATAATCTAGCTACTGAATAATTATAGATTAGGAATATAAGTATAATATTTGTCCATAAATACTTCTCAAAAGTTAGCATTGATAGTTGTCGTCAGGATATAACAAAATGTATCTCATCAAATTTATATTTTTTAAAATTGATCACAGCTATTATTCGGTTGATTTATTATTTATAATGTCTGAAAATTCTTTAGGTGCCTAGATGATATTTAAATGGTATAAATGGAAACTAAACTGGAAAATCAGACGTTCGAAATTAACCAGATATAATATTGTATTCCAGTAAACATTATTTACTGGTATTTAGTTGAGTAGAAATGATTTATGGCTAATGTGGGATGATTCGGTGCTTTTGAATTCAGTTAATAAGACGGTTCAATTTTGAAACCTTTATTATCATTCTAGATAAGATAATTCTTTTATCATTATTAAACATGTAGGTGTCATTACCAAGGTTTGATTTGATAATTTCGAATAAATTGAGCATTGGGTTCATTGTTATAAATAAAAATAATATATTTGTAATATCCCAATGAGTAGAAAATTGGATTTTCTGACGTTTCGTGACTTAGTGTAAGTCACTTCTTCAGAGAACAAATAACCAAATTAAAATTCATCCAAGTTTAAATAGTACAACGGAACAATGCAAGAATAATATTGGATCAATCAAAAACAAGTCTGAACAAGTTGATGTCATGTCATTTCTGTCAAGGTGATTCATAACTGATATGTATGTAAATTTGTGTGTATGTATATGTGTATTGTTTAAGAATGAAAACTTGTGTGACCTTTATGGTAAGAAAGGATAGAGTTTAAAGTTGTAATATGCTAGTGTGAAATTGTAAATACGATCAGACTGAGTGGCTAGCCACTCAGTTGTACTATTTAAACTTGGATGAATTTTAATTTGGTTATTTGTTCTCTGAAGAAGTGACTTACACTAAGTCACGAAACGTCAGAAAATCCAATTTTCTACTCATTGGGATATTACAAATATATTATTTTTATTTATTATTAAACATGGTTCAGATAATCCTATTGCTGATATTGAGAACGAAACAAGCAAATAGCTACCTCAAATTAATAGCTCATTGGAAAATGTCACTTTCGAACTGAAAAGCACTGAATTTAAGTGACAACATGCAGGTATCATTGGGATATTACAAATATATTATTTTTATTTATAACATGCAGGTATGTCCAAATGACAAGTCACAACCAAAACAAAAGATGGGACCTGCATTCCATAATCCATCTATTCTATGAATCATTGTTTTCGAAACCTTTCATTCTTGTGCAATTTAGACAATTTATGTATAAATATTATTTAAATTAAAGCCCTTTTTCCTACAAACAAAACATTGGTTCATTCAGGTTCATCGTATTTCGTTTTCTTTGAATTATCTGCGATCTCAATATCATGTTCATCATTCTGTAATCAATGAGTACACACACTTTTCAAGAATGTATGGAATGAAAATAAAACAAGACTTGAGTTTCTCGAAATATTGTACAAAAGTGTTGATCATTGCAACCAACAAACAAACAAACAAATAAACAAAGTTTTCGGTCAGTTTTGTACATTCAAAACGTTCATATATTATACCATTAGTTTGAACGTCATTCTACTCACTTCGAGTAAGATAGTTCATTAATATAATTGATCTAACATAAAAGACATCAACATGAGCCAAAAACATAAACTTGGGCTTCTCCATTGAGTTACATTGAACGTATTTTAAATACATTTTTATGCCATGACCGGTAGAGTTCAGTCGTGTCTCATCTGAAGCAGTTACCCACCGAAGACACTGAAAGATGGTCGCTCAATGTCATGGATTGTTTGAAGTTAGACATTAATATCATTGATCTAGAGGTTAAATATTTGGGTGAGACCGAAGATCCTGTGTTAAATCTCGTGTTTGGAATCCTGGTTTCGCACTTCTGTGGAGTCCCGTACTATGACGAAACGGTCATACAGTGCTCCCAGGTTTTCAACGGTCACCAAACATTGATCAAATGGTTATCTTAATTTAAAATGTTTTTCGTTTCATAATTATTAATTTGAATGTAATTTCGGAGGTTAATCACAGTTCAATTTATTTTCGAATCTCATCACCATTGGTTTAGAACTAACTATTTATTTCACGAATTTACCAACATTTATGCAAGGTATGTTTAAAATGTATATCAGCAGATCAACAGTATCTCGGTTAACAGAATTTATAGATTATACTTGTTACAGATTGATCGATAATACTGTTTCCATTAATATCGATAAAATTGTTGACAAACGGGGTTACTTCTAATTAGGATTTGAAAATCGCTAAAAACATTTTATGACAATGAATAATTTCATACCGCTGAGTGTATACGAACAAATCCATTTGGGCTAAAACCCAAGAGCTTTAGATATCATGAGTGAAAAATCTATCGTTTGAAATTTAGAATTCTATATTTTAAATTGCCGTTAGTTCTTCTTATACAATAAACGTTTAATATCTCTCAAGCTGTTATTTAAAGACAATGAAACTATCCATAACAGCTTGAATATCCGAATTATTCACAGTTATTATTAACTGTTGGTATTTGAACGTCCTAAAAGAACAACTCCCTAGGGTCTGAAATGTGTCTATGTGGACTCGGCGTTTAAAGGTATGTGTAATGTGCTAAAGATGACTCGTTAATTATGGTTCATAAATAAACGGACCAATGATATTTTATTATAAACTTCGGTCATTTTGACTTGGTATAATCACACAGTAATTAATCTTTCTTGCATCAATAATGACAAATCATACCTCTTTATTTGAGGTTTATTTGTTTCTAAATTATAATTTTCATTACATGCATAAGTAGAACATACAATCTAGCATTGAAGTCACATGCATATAAATTGAACTATTTTGAAATCTTTCATAAAATTTGCAAATTTTGCATGAGGAAACTAATGAAAGCTAAATATTCTACACCATTCATAACTAGTTATCTTACAAGGGTATCATTTGCAAACTAATGTAATTCACAGGTTGAAATCATGAGTCAATTGAAGCTAGACCACCATGGAAAACCTGGAAGCACTGGACGGCCGTTTCGTCTTAATATGGGACTCCTCAGCAGTGCGCATCCACGATCCCGCCTCCCGAGACATTCGAACCCAGGACCTATCAGTCTCGCGCGCGAGCGCTTAACCATTAGACCACTGAGCCGGCATCCAACGGTGTTAATGTCTAACTTCAACCAATCCACGAAGTTGCGCCACTGTACACCATTGTATTCAGTGAGCTGATACTAAGACGAAACGGCCGTACAGTGCTTTCAGGTTTTCCATGGTGGTCTAGCTTCAATTGACTCATGATTTCAACCTGTGAAATTTCTTAACATCTCCACAAAACCCATTCTGATAATGGAATTCACTCAAGAGAATATTTATTTATCTTAAATAGACACCATCATTTTCCTCGTATCCCGATTATATACAATAAATTGTTAAAAAACATCCTTATGATAAATTGATAAAAGAGAAATGCACCTTTCACAACTTGATAACATATATACCCAAAAAGAAGTGATCTTTTAAACTGTATAAACTTAGTTTATTTAAAAAGTAAGATATTCAATTCAACTAATGGATTTTCTATTATAAAAAAATAACAACTAACAGCAAAATTGTCCGAGAATTAGAACGGAATTAAAATTAATGTTTATACTACTGATATTCATTTATAATCCATACAAATATTTATGTATATATATAGTGATAAATACAAT